TTCTTCCCTCCATGTAAATCCATAATAACTCCAGTGGCTTTGGCACATCATAAGGCTCCCTAAGGCCTCTTTATCCACTGTGAATAGGGTTTTTTCTCAAGCTGTTCAGTTGATGATGGCAAGGTATGGAACAGGATGTGAATTTGGTGGTCGCAATCTTATTAATAAAAGTTACAGGCTATAATATACAGGAGGCCACTAATTTACATAAACATAAATTGGGAATAACACCATTTTTATTAGTGCTTAAGTGATTTAAGGAGGAAAATAACATTGGTCTAGTATTGCTTAGTTGCGTGATTAGCGCTCCAGACCTTATCTTGTTCTACTCCTTTCTAAGGATGTTTTTGGCCATTGGCTACCTTGGAAGCCTGAGCAAGTCATTTTCTTTACAGTGCTGTCTGGTATACAGTGGCTGCATCTACACATGCACTTTAATGCACGGTAGCCTATTTTACTGCACATTAAAGCATCACATAAAAAATTTTGACTTTGCACTAATGCGCAGTAAAACAGGCTACTGTGCATTAAGTGTCACTTAAAAACCATGCATGTTAAGGCAGCCTAATGCTTTAGTACCTCACATTAGAGGCACTAAATTTAATGTGCATTAGAAAAAGTGCCTTAATACACATGTAGATGTTTATTAGTGACACCTACAAAAGTAGAGCACGTTAAATATGGGTTTCATATACGGCATTACTTTTTGGGTTTTGGTAGTGTTTGTTTTTTTGAACATGCATCAATATGTACATTCTATTGTTGTGTAGTATATGCAAGTGAATTTATGTTATTGCATTCAATCTATATATAGCCTTACAAAATCAGCATTAAAGCATACCAGCCCAGACACACAAGTTTCTATTCCCCTTTATTATAGTGGTGGTTTTTTAAAATGTATAGGTTTTCACTCCCTGATCTAAAATAAATGCTTGACCTAGGTGGGTAAGTCAAATTTCAAGTCTGTGGTGGTAGTGTCTGCATCTGCTAGCTTTAAGAACCTCATTTTTCACCGTCCATAGTGCTTTGATTGTTTTGGCATAACAGTACTGTTCAATCTGGATTTACTCTCCAAGTCACTAACTGTTATCAGGCATCATTAATTACTAATGTAACTAGTTAAAATGGAGAAAACTAATATATGTTGTAATGAGATTCAGATTTCAATGTAAGAAAGATAGATGTTTGTATTTAGGACTCCTAAATATTTATATTCTGAGGGATATTTATTCTGTATTAGATACAAACGTTATGATGATGTGGGGTATAAATAATAATGCCTGTTCTGTTAGAAATGTATGCCTTCCTCTAAGTTTATTAAACAGGAAAGAGGAAGAGGTGGGGGGGAGGTGGAGAGGGATGGAGTCTGACTTTGTAGTATGATATTAGTGGAGATTTTCCATTTCTGTAGTGTAAATCAGAGCAGAATTAGGTTCAGAGAATGTTAACAGCAATGAGTAACCTAGGCCATATTCAGTAAAGATTTAAGCATGTTTAACTTTCTGCAAAGTGCATAGCCTCAATGACTTGACAAGGAGTCTTGGATGCATACATGAAGTTATACATATGCTTGCCTTGGGCTGCTGTGTTTCCAAACCTACAATAATAAAGCTGAGCTGTTTTGTTGACCCCCTGCCTTCTTTTTAGTTGCTTTGGGGGAAGAAAGTAAAATTTCCACTCCAAATATGAGAAAAGAAGAAAGAGCCTGGTAATGGTTTATTCTTTTGTTTTTACTGTCTCCAAGAAAATAATTTATTAAATATGTAGAAGGAAGATTTGCAAGACTGAGAGGCAGTATGCTCTTCTAGCATTGATTTTAGTGAGGACTTTTCATGTTTCATGTTTAGATCTTGTTTTCTTTAGGCCATTTGATATTTATTTTGTTGTTTCCATTTAATGTTGTGAAGTAATAGTCTTATAGTTGATGTATTATATTTGGGGTTAGATGAATGATTTAATCGGCATTCAAAAAAAAAGAGAGAAGTCTGATATGTATTGGATCTGGCTACACAGAGTCTGGTTATAGTAACTATGTATTAGGTGTAGCAAAGGTTTTATGGTGTAATTGACACAATCTAATATGCTTTATTAAAACAGCACCACAGAATGACCAATGGAAAATTGGCAATTAATGCAGAAAGTCCAAAAATTTTGAAACTTTATTTATAAAGCACATGCAACTGCTGAGCATACTTTAGAGCTGAGGAAGCCATGTCTGAGTAATTGGCCCTGAGAATTTTCTGGCTGACATTATATTGTTTAAATTGAGTTTAACTCTGCTTTTGTATGAGGAAAATACAGTAAAATAACAGTTGTCCACTGGAGCAAAAAGAAACATTTATAACTTGTAGTAAAATCTGATGATACATGTAAAATCTTTGGCAAAAATTTTAAAACTCATGGGAGAAATAAAGGAGTAAAATGATTGTCTCCATAAAGCTATAAACAAACAATAAAATATGCTGTAAATAATGGATACAACAAGAAAAAGGGGGTTGTAAGTTCCACACAAAGTCTCTTATACAGTAATAAAAGATAAAAGTACATCAGCATTCCATCTAAAATATGTCTATTCTTTATGAAGAGGCAGCATAATTTTCTATATAAAGCTCTAGTGAATTCACTAGTGGAGATCTAAAACTTTTCACATTCTTCACTGTTTGGAGAGTTGTGTGATCCTACCATGCTTGGATTTATTCTTTTGGTTCATGAAATGTGACGTAGGGAGAGGAGCAGGGAGGACAGGAGGGGAATAGAAAACTGAAAAGCTTATTTGTGCACAATAAGATATTGCAAATTATTGAATGTCACACTTTCATTGATTTGCTGGTCTCAGATATGCAAACCTATAAACTATAATTGCAGAATCCTTCAATTACTGCAGTACTATTACTGAGGGAGACATCTGGAAAGTGTCTCCGGTTAGTTTTGATTTTGAGAGGGGCTGTAATCAAGCCTGCTCAGTATAATTAAACTGACGAGATTTTGAGATATTGTATTTGTTTGCTTCATGTCTTTTCCTTCGTTTAATGTTAATGTTTTCTGAATCTTGCACTATGTCTAGTGACCCTGAGGACAGACTTGAAAGCTAGTGCTTCAAGTATGTAAGCTTTGGCACCATTTGTAAAAAGAGCAAGATATGATAGCAAGAAAAAGATCACACCTAGGAGAAGTCCATGGTTTCCTTAGCAATGCAGTGGTAGGAAACTACATGTACTGGGTTTGAATAGACTGATTTCTTGACAAAAAGACAACCTGCTCCAGGACAGCAGAATACTGGACCTATGAAGCTCTATGCTCATGAATTGTAGGCGATCTTTAGGTGTGGGGCTTGAGCAAAGATCAGCACACTTCTACTACCCTCACAACTTTCTATATTGGGCCTGCTCCCTTCTACCTGTGTTGTGTCCTATAGCCTCAGGCTGGACTAGATTTTGTGTCAGGGCCTTGTAAGAGTCCCTCGTTCCTGGGAGTTGTCTCCAAAACTCCAACGACTTGGAATTCAGTGAGGCAGACAACAAGGATGTAAAGTACCAACCAATCAACAGTTTAGCATAGACCCTTGTTTAAAAGTTATATGCCTGCCCCTCTACAGGAGTGTTACCATATTCTTTCAGTTTATGGTTGAAGCACATTAACCAGAGCCTGGCAGTGAAGCTTATACTGATGCTGCATCTGCTCTGTGGACAAATGGAGAGATGTGTATGGACACATACATCTGGAGCCATTTCAAAACGGGAAACATTTCAAAAGGGCAGCTGTTATTATGGATGGACAAACCAGGAATCATAACTGTAGCTAACCTGCTCCACCTTTAACTATGCTTCATCCACAGTTAAAGTTGGAGGTGTTTTGCTGCAGTTGTATGGTTCCTGGTTTATTGGAACGTAACAAAGGCATGTAACAATGCTACCCTTTTGAAACGAACATTTGTTACAGCCCTTTTAAGACCGCTCCAAATGTATGCTTGTCCATACCCAGAAGCAGCAATTTGGCATGTTTAACAAATATTTAAACTAATCGGGTATGGTTTGGACCTTTACACTCTGCGCATTCTTTTTTGGGGTATCACAGTACCTCTTCTTGGGCCTCTTGGGAACCTGAGGCCTGAGGAAGGGTACTTGTGATACCCCAAAACTTGCCTATGTCTATCCCAACCAAGCAATTGGCCCAGTAAAAGATTTCACACACAAGAATTCTTGCTCATCTCATATCTTCTAAGCAGATTATAAAACTTGGTAGTTTGGAAAAACATACAGTAGTTGAGAATGGACTCTAGGCAGGCAGGTGAAACACGTGGGATCAACATTACAAATGTTGACTTTTGCTGTTGCTGAACAGTTGTAAGGTTTTTTTATCTGATATAGACAAGCATGAAAGCATGTGTTTAACTCTATCCCTGTTTAAAGTTCCATTGGAGCTCAAGGGAATTCAAGATACTGCTCAAGTGCATACTTAAATTGGGGTTGCTTTTCAGAAGTGGTCCCCATGTGACGTCGTCTTTTCTTTCTTTTTACAACCCACAATTTCCTGTTTGGGGCTATAGGTTTGCAAAGAGTAACTATAACAGTGTGTGTAAATGACCAGCCTTCCTTATCTCCACTGAGCAAGAGCTTGCATTCTTCTTTGTAAAATATTCCTCAGTAGCAATATTGGGTCAAAAATGAGTAGCTGCAACACAAACCAGTTCTCCCTTTTTCAGCTAAATTTGGAAGGCTTCACCAGCCCTGCTTAAAAGACATCTGGTAGAAATGTCAAAGAACAGTTCACCCTGCTGTAGCCCATCTTGAATCCCTAGCTGTTTGAGAACTTCAGGATGCCATTGCTCTTGGCAAAATAGACAAACCTCAGAATTTGGGTAAACCCTGAACGATGTTCAGCATAGGAAGAATAATTCTTAATATGAGAGCTCAGATGCACAATGATCTTTTAATACTGCTTTTTAGGCTTAAAGTTTAGCAGTGATTTTTACAACTTTGATTATTTTCTGTTTCATTTAGACCCCTCTTTACATTGTTAACCACGGGGAGACTGGGCCAATCCGATGCAATAGATGCAAAGCCTATATGTGTCCCTTCATGCAATTTATTGAAGGGGGAAGAAAGTATCAGTGTGGATTTTGCAGCTGTGTAAATGATGGTAAGTGATAAAGATTAACTTTTGTTTGAATGAATTTACCATACAAACTAAGAAGGAAATTACATCTCTGTTTTCTTGTTAAAACAACTGGGAGTGAAGCACTAGTCCCACTGAAGTGAACAGAGGTTTTTACCAAGAACTCAGTGGAGCCAATATTTATTCTCTAGACTGTTTGGCATGTTATTCACTACAGTCCAAATCCTGTCCTCTGAATCCACATGAATAAAGACTGAATGGAGTCTAGGATAAGGCCCTACAGCTGTGAAAGTTTTTACTAGCTGACTGTGCACCCCTTGAATTTCGTATCAGCAGAAAAAATGGCAGGAAACATAACCAGGTAATTCTCAAGATTCCTTCTACTTGGCTATTTAATGTTAGGAAAAATAAAGTACAGCAGAGGTTTTCTGTTGAGCCCTCCACTTTGTGTCCTCTTGAGGTAAAACTTTCCTCTGTCATTTTAAGCTGAGTGTAACAGATCTTAAACTGGTACTGAGAAGATAGAAAGGTACAACAGCGGAAACATGCTCTGTAATGTTGTGAACATGAAAATGTATAAATATTGGGCTCATTTCTTTTTCTTTTGGCCATTTTGACCCATTCCAGTAAAACTGAGAGAGGTTGGGAACCACACCACAGTCCTAACTGCTTTTTCAGCTGTGGGCTAGATGCAGGGTTGATCTGCAGGCTGGATCTGGTTCACAAAATCAGTGTGGACTCAGTCTAGCATGGGATGAGCATCCAGGTACAGTCTAGGATGTGACCCCAGCTTTGTATGCTGAATCAATCCCCAGATTTGTGTGTGCCAGAACAGGCCCACCATCCCAGCTCCATATGTGCTGGAATGGACCTGCTGCACCAGATTCCAGCCCAGCATGCACCAGATTGGGCCCATCACCCCAGTCATGTGTGTGCCTGGTTGGGCCTGCCACCTAAGCCCTGTACACCAGTCCGATTTACCATATATGTAAAGTCATGTCATCTGCCCACGGAGCTTGGAAATTTGGCGGTGAAGGAGCAGGAACATTAATTGCTACTGCTCCCACGTCAGCAATTTTCCAGACCTGTGGTGGGCCAGATTACTTGTCTACATGGGCTGGATCTGGCCTGTGGGCCAGAAGTTGAGTGTCACGGAGTTAGAGAATTCATTCAATTTGGAATGAATTTCAAGATAGCTGAGTCAGCACAGTGACCCTAAACCACTTCCTTCCCAGTCCACAGGGAATAGAAAGTATTCCCAATGAAAAGGGCAATGTCCAGAAATGTCTGTGCTCTCTGGCTCTTCTGCTGACTAGAATAGTCCCTTGAGACTATGAACAAAGGAAGGCAAGGTTGGCTCCTGACACTGCCATAAGTAGCTCCCAGCCAGTGGCAGAATAAGGAAAGAACAAAGGTGCTATAAAACAACTTTTTCCTTCAACCCAACTCTGTTCCTGTATGAAATAGCTAGAGCAAAGAATTGAGCCCTACATTTGTCATGCAATATAACCATAACTAGATGATGTATTACTGACTTTCCATCATATGATGAGCCTCCAATTAAATACATGTGAAAATAAGTGAGATGCACTTAGTAGGATTCTCTCAGAGAAATGGCTTATGAAAGAAAATATACAGACAGTTTTAAAAAAAATGTATTGTAGCAAAATACAGCTGTGCCAAATAATGAAATCCAGCTTCATCAAAAGTTTATTTTTAAAAATGCTTTGTCAACATAGCATATATATTGTGCTCTGTTTCTAGCTGCTAGTTAGAATTCAACTTCAAGTAAAAATAAACTTCTTTAAAAATGCCCAAATGCCCACCAAAGACCAAATATTTAGAACAGCATCACAGTAGTTATGTCCACAACCATGGATTTAATGGTTGAAGTACCTATTAATCTTGCTGTGACAAGTGTTGGTTTTCACAGAAGATACCATGCCATATTTGTTCAAGTGTGCTGCATGTGACTCATAAGTATTCTTGCGCTTTTGGCTGAATCCCAAGTCTTTGCTAGAACTAGCCTTTCTAGACGCTTGTATCAAGTTGGAGTTCCTCAGCTGGATCACAGTGGTATACTGCTTTCCCTAATACAGTAATCTTTTCAACTCTGAAATGTGAACCTTGAAAAACTCAGGCTAACTGTTTTTTTTGGCCTGAGGTTCAACCTATTGAGCAAAGTATAGCAAACAGCAAGCTTCATAGTTTGTCGGGTTAAATTCTCGTGAACATAAACCTTTATTGTTAGAAACAATGCAAATATAGGATTTGACCAGTGATTTCAGTTTAAATCATTCTTTGTACTCCTAAGGTGTCTTTCATCTAAGAATCTCAAAGCATTTTCATGAACTTTAGCTGGGTCTCAAATCCCCCCCTGCAGGGCAGGTGAATATTATCCCCATTTTACAAGCAAGGAAAACTGATGTACAAAACAGTTTAAAGTGAAGGAAGTAACTAGCAAAGAAGGAAACAACACAAGTTTGGTGTCTTTTTCTACCTCCTGCTCTACTAAAGATAGTGGCTGCATTTAAACCATAGTCTGGCAAACCATGTAACTTCTTACAATTCAGTTCCTAAGATAGTGCACTTCTAGTTAAGCCTTGTGTCAGTGGGGGCTTTGCTGTGCAGTAGCCCAGGATTTGTGAACCTTTTGGAACTACCCCCTATGTAGTGGGACCTGTGGGTGAAGCAGGGCTGGCTGAAAGATAGTTATAACTGGTGACTAGGGGCATTTATACATGGGCTCTAGGAGTGGAGGTGGGGGTCACTTTAATTAGAGCAGATATGAGAGGCTTTAATTTAAGCTCCCGGAGCATCTTAAAGCACCCCTACTGTCATTTTTAAGTGTGCGGACATATACGCAAGACACTGGAGTCTGCTGGAGCACAATAATTACCATGTTCTAGCAGACTTGATTGATCGAGTCTGCTGCAATGCTCTGTAATTACAACATGTTGGAGCAGCCTCACTGCTTATGTGTAGGTGCCCTATGATATGGGTGGCTCTGACACAGCACAGTGCTGCAAATTGTGTTGGTGCTGCTTTCTGTAACTGGGAATACTGCAGCTTCAAGCTTGCAGCAGTGTAGTGGTTTTGTTATCAGTGTGTATATTTTAGGGAGAGCAGGTTCCTGTCCACAACATACATGGAACCAGTACCAGTTCCAACTGCTCAGGACAGTGTATCTACAGAAGATCCCATGCTTGTGACTGGACTTATCCTATGCAGTAGGAACTCCCACCTATCAGAGTTTAGAAAATGCCTTTTTTATTTAAAAAAAACCCCCTGCCATGTGCTGTTTCCATGAACATTTCGTTGCTCAGCCATTTGCTACATTTTCCTTGAACATAAAAATAGGAGCTTATATTGGTTCATCTGTGTATTTAAAAATAAAGCAAAACAAAAAGACCTGATTCTATGTTTTTCTGTAGTCCCTCCATTCTTTTTTCAACATCTGGACCACGTTGGCAGAAGAGTGGACCATTATGAGAGGCCAGAGTTATCTCTAGGATCTTATGAATTTGTTGCTACCTTGGATTACTGCAGAGTAAGTATTCCCAGAATGCAAACTTGTTTACAAAGTTTATAGCCAAATGAGCAGGATCCTTAAATACCTACATCAGAATAAGAATGTTTGCAGTTTTAAATACCAGAAGTTCAGAGGTTCCTGGACACTTTCAAAGTTGTAGATAGAGGCATAAAATGTAAGTTAAACCTATTTCCTGTACAGTTTTGATCACTGATATTGTTGCTCATTGTTTCTGTTATGGTCATTGCATTAAGATTGTCAGATAAGAGTTACAAGCACTACAGCAAAGAGCGCACAGCACTATGGCTCAGCCAGGCTTTAACTTGGTTGTAGCAACTATATGACACTGTTGTAGAGCCTATAGTTGAGATTTTTCACAGGGTGTCATGTATTAACCACATCTTACATTTATTTTGAAGGCAGATGTATATCTAAATCCTCTACTGTGGAAACTTCAGCCTGGAAATTTGATGCAACTGTTTGACTGTATGCTTATGTAGCAGTATAAATTAACTAAATCATTTAAAGGTTTAACCCTGGATGAAACAGGGTTACAGTTTGCAATCATTTTGCTACAATTGCATTATTACAGGAATATGCAAGTGGAACAGTTTCCATCATTTGCTATAGGTATAATTTCTATTCCCTTTTTATATAGTATTTATATCCTGCTTATGCTGTTAATTCTCATGTTATGAAGTCATAAAGGGCTTCATCCAAAGTCCATTGAAATCAATTAAAGTCCTTTAAGACCTTAAACTACAGATGGAGTCAAGGGAGAATTCATAAGGAGGATTCCCTGCATAGCTTTAACAGTTTGACATGCTTTTATTATTATCAGCCATAAGTATTTTGTTTCATTTTAATAATATGAAGTTCATATTGAAGTTCGAAATAAACTACTTCCAGCCACAAAATCTTAATGCAGCAGGTTCAAACACACCCTTTACAGTTCTCAGGTTCATGAATAGAGTTCTTGTCTGGATGTGAATGATCCTGGGGCAATTTTGGTAAGAGCAATGGTGGGCCTGATGCTCCTGTTTCCTCCACACTTATATGCATGCAGGCTGCTGTGCAATACATAATCTGCCTGGCTGTCTTCCTACTACAGGGGTAACTACAAATTTTCAGCTTTTCTTTAACAGGTGTTCAGGTTTTGGGTTGCAGGGATGTCCCTGGAAGTAACTGCAGACATGCTTTTGCCTGCAGCTACTTACACATACAGTTTAGATAACGTAAAAGGTAAGCACCTCATTGTAATTTCCGATCAAGTACCTAGACACCTTAAATTACTTAAATGATATCTACAGAAATGTAGGGAAAGAACTGAAAATGTGCCCTCAGGATGAATTACACATTTGTAAAGCACTGTGCATACCATCCTGTCTTCTTGTAAGGAGAGATCAGCAATGGCTGATGAAACTCATTATTTGTTACTTTGAAACGTAGCCAAAAAATGTAATATAAATTTGACCTAGAAAAGCGTTGATTAAAATAAAAAGCAGCTGCATGTTGTTGAGACTCTTGTGAAAAACCAAAAACACATGCATGTTGTTTCATTTTCATGCTTTTCGCCCTCTTAATGAGACTTATACAGTTAATTTGGCAAAGCTATTTCCCTGAAGTAGCAGGCCAGTATTTGAATGCCAGGTAGTCTAGTATTTGATCATGCGTCCAGTTAATATTTTCGGCTAAGCAGTGATGAGGTAGTGTTTCCACTGCTCCTACAATGTGGGGCTTATATTGGCTTATATAAAATTGCAGTTTAGAATTATTTTAATAGGAACCCCAGGCCTGTATGGAGTTCTGTGTAGTTGGACCACTGTGAGATGGTAGGACCCTGTTGAATCATAAGGGCTTAGGGCAGGACCTGCCTCATGTTTCTCATGGCAAGCCAGGATCAGGACTAAATAAAAAATTGTTGGTTGTTTAAGAGCATGGGACTAGAAGGCATTGCATCTTAACAATCCATTTCATATATGTATCAATCTGTATTTTAAAAGTAGTTAGGAAAGTTGCCCCTACACCTACTGTTGGAAGGCTATGTAACACTTTGAAGGTTAGGGATAATTTTCTCATTTCTAGCCCTGTGCTCTTGTGCTACCTCTCCCTTTTAGTAATATCTCTACCCACTTCACAGTTCCTTTAGTAATCCTCAACCTGTTCAGCTTTACTAACAATTTCTTGGGCTCACTGTATCAGATGTCCAGATAAATGACACCTGCCACATTACTTTTGTTTAGAATAGGGCTGTCCAAGTGGTCTTGTCTATGATGTGGTTATCCAGCCAGCAATTGAGGTGATGTTGTGCAGAGAAGCCTGCAATCTTCATGAACTAGTTCTGGGTAATGAGCTCTACTTATTTGCCCAAGCACTGCCCTTGTAAAGACAGTAGTGCTGTTCCAGTTCTGGAGCTGGACTGTCTAAAGTTAACTCAGGTGCCTCAAGTGTGTGACAGACTGAGGGGCTGTGTGTAAGATTGGAAGGAAGTGGTCTTTGTGTGTGGTGTTGTAGAGCCAGATGAGTTGTGGGTTCAGGGGATATGGGCTGCAGAGCTATGCAGAAAGCCATGGGGAAGTGAGTTTTTGGATTGTATGTGAGGTTAAGGGGGAATGTGAGCTGTGGGAAGGCCCATCAGTTGAAGAGAACAGTGGAGGAAGAAAGGCACATCTCAGCATTTAGAGTTGGTGTAGCTTGCTGGATGTGAATGCTGAATATGGGTTAGTTGGAATGTAACATGGTGTGGGGGGGCAGTGGGTGAGAGTTGAGTATGAAACCGGGAATGTGGGATGTAAGACACTGAGTGAGGATCAAGGATTTGAGGGATGTTGGGATTTAGGGCATCACCTAGGGATAAAATTGATGAGCAGAGCCCATGGCAGAGAGGCTGAGGTGATACAGAGCATTATCACTTTGGCCTTAGGGCAGGGGGAAGATGCAGCTTAGCTTATGTAAGGGAGTGGTGAAGGGCCTTGGTGCTGGTACTGGTATTTCCCACTGTGCGAAGTGTTTAAGCCATTGAGCATGGCTTTCTTTGATTTTAGCTGGTTTATACAATAGCAAGCATGACCTTCTTTGTTCTAGAGTCTAATCATGCTTGAGAGACCCCCTCTCCCCCAAAGCACTACATGAGACTATCCTCCCATTACATGTAGTGTGGAAAAAATATAATGTTACAAAGAAGTTCCTTGTAGTAACTATTTTATGGAAGAACTGCCATTGTTGCAGCAGATCTGCCATGGCTCTAGTGTTACAAAGAGCCCGAGTGCATGAACACTCATTTTTTGTAGTGCTATCAGGCCTCATATAGTGCTAAAAAAGTAGTATGTGTCTAAGGCCCCAGTATGATTCTACAGGGTCATGACTGCACTCAGTGTCCACTGAGAATTTGTTTCTAGATCAGTAACATGGTTGCTATGATTTTAGTAAGGCTGCATCTTACTACTAGTGAGGTTAACAAACTTCGCAGGCTGATTAGTAGATCCTATGCTAGGGTCCTATAGCTGGGTCCCTGATCAAAAGCCCACTGAAATCAGAGAACTTTTTCATTAACTCCACTGGAATCTAGGTTGGACCTCATGTCTGGCACAAGCTACTTTAGATGTATTTGGCTGTAATCAAGACTTAAATAGAAATATAGTGCAGGATCCTCAGCTAGTGTTTATCAGTGCAGCTCCATCAAAGTAATTTGAGCTGTACTGGATTTATCGCAAGTGAAGAACTGGCCCATCAACTTTGTAAACTTAATTTGTCTATTGAAGGCACCCATTAATTTTTTTTTCAAAATACATTTTGTTGCTTCTGTAACATGATGCTTTGTGATGCAAGCATGTTCAGGTATTTTTATGTCTTTGTCACAAAGCTTAATTTAATTAGGAGCTCTGGTAAGTAGGTTTCTTAATGCTACTGTAATGTTGTTATAAATGTGGAATCAATATTAATCTGGATTTATTTCAAGATTGTTTAAAGCAATCAGTTTGGGAACATAGGTTCTCATGGGGAATATCAGACTAATGATTTCTGGGAAGCTAAGTAAGTTATTTGATACTTTTTTCTTGATACAAGTCAGTAAAGTTTAATTCTTTTCTAAATCTGATACAAGAACAAAACTAAAGGATCATTTCCATTGAGCTTATCAAACGATGAGGATGAACAGCTACAGAAAATGTTAACAAGTAACAGCTGCATTGTATTACTTTACTTCTCCTTAGCCATATCCGCTTAAGTACAACTTCCCATTTTTACCATATATAAGGTCAGAAATTAGCCAAGGTCCTTTTATAAACAGCCATGAGCGTTTTGGGATTCACACAAGGGCAATATTTGAGGCACATTTTTGTAAGTAAGATCCAGATACTGAAATCAGAATAGCTTTGGAAGCTATGACCTGGTTTGACTCTATTGGAGTTAAGTCTTGGAGAATACCATAAGTGAAAGGAGAATCTACAGAAAAGTTTTAAATTTAGAGTAAAACGTGTTGGGGCAAGAGAGCTAGGTATCTTAAAAGATTGGTAATGAGAAAGTGGAGTCTTATCATCTATAGCTTGTTGTTTCAAATATAACCCAGCATCTGTTAAGCAATGGCTATAGAACGTTCATTTTGGAATATAACATTAGGCAAGTGTCCACTTCACTGAAAAAACCCTCCGCATTTGACTTCCATTAATAATTATTTCAAGTCTTAGCAAGGAGCTAAAGATGGAATAGTCCCAGAAACTGACCTTTGCCCCTTAGCAGCAACTCTTAGCAGTGTTTGTCACCAATCTGAGGAGTACTTGTGAAATGTTATGAAGACTGTGTTACTGCGGGCAATGCTGGATTTGATAAAGAGATTGTGGAGTCTCCATCATTAAAGATTTTAAGAACAGGGTTGTCAAACACTCGAATTTAGACAAGGATTGATCCTGCCTTTGGTTGGGGTTTGGATTGGTGATCTCTTGAGACCTCTTCCAGCCCTGTTTTTCTACTGTTCTTTGATTCTCTGATCTGTGAATAAAGGACTTCATTTTCTTAGGCTCTTAAACTAGCATGTTTCATTAAGCATTATGTTTGCTTCTAAGAAAAACATTAGTAAATGTTGCATGCAGATACTTGGCATAGCTTAATGCAGTATGTACATGTTTTTTGTTACATTATGAACAAAAAATAATATGTAATAAGTTATACCCAAGGTATCAGTACCAAGCCAACAGGTTACTGAATACCTAATCTTTGTTTATACATAGGTATTACAAGCTGAAGTTTTTTACTGGTGTTGTAGAAAATAAGCTTATTTGTAAAAGTGCCATTCTTTCAGCTATTATAAATGCAGTTGTCAAACTGTGTAATTATTACTATTTAGTATTAGCAGCATCTGTAAAAACCACCAAACAATTACTTTAGTTGCCTGATTGTGCCAACTGTGGATTTTGTTGAACTTAGTGTGTTAGCATCTCATTTTCCTCTGTGCATCTGAATGATGATTCTTTTCCATAGAACAACAAACCTCCAAATCCACCAGCCTATATCTTCATGATTGATGTATCATACAGTAATATAAAGAGTGGCCTTGTGAAACTCATCTGTGATGAGCTGAAGACTCTGCTGGATAAACTACCAAGGTAAGGAGATCTCAGTGTGCTTTGCCTAAATTTTCACAGAACAGTAAGTTTCTTATTAATCAGAGGGAACAAAAAATCTTCAGAAATTGACTAAGTTGTAATACCAGGATTTGGGGACAATTTCTTACAAGCAGAACAGGACTATATGTTTATCATTGTAAGTTCTAAAAAGTCTCACTGGCCTCCAGCTTTTTTAAATTTGTGATGGAAAAAAGAGCAGTTTGCTAATTAAAGGTGTGGGGGTTTCTTAGACTTTCTTATCCCTTTCTCACACTAAGCTGTCACAGCATTTCCAACTGAATGCAAACCCTTTTTATTATGTTTACTCCCTATACAGTGATCATCATTTGGAACAGTTTTGTTCATAAAACTCCACAGTGAATCTTTATTTTACCAGAGCAGACAATCTAGAAATTCAAGTCTCTTTGTAAAGCTACAACACGGCATCCAAGTGCCAAATATGTTCGGCTTGTTTTCTTTAATTAGTGAATGCTTTAAACCCACCATCTGAAATTTCTTGTTATCATTCAGTATTTTCTGTGTTGTTCACTTCTGCATCTGGGACAGAAGTTCAATAAAAAGATTTAACCTAAACCAGCTAAGTTTGATACTACATTCATCCATATTATCTTAAACCAGTTTCAGCCAATTGGGTGCATCCAGACAAGCATGGACATGTGTTTCCCTGGGGACAAGTAGCAGTAGCACACCTTGTGCCACTGCTACTTGTCCCCAGAGAGCACCTGTGCCACACACTCTGGCACATTTCGTGTTACCCCAGGTGGGACAGGAGAGGCCTGGGCCAGCAACTGTGCTAGCTCCAGCAGCCTTACTTGGGGTCCTGGGAGTCTCCCAGGACTGCAACCGTGGCAGGAAACCTGGCTGGCAGCCAAAACATGGCTCCGGCTGGCCAGGCTCTGGTTTTGGGCAGTGCACATTGCAGCCACATGCGCTGCCTCGCTTTTTTTCGGCATGGTGGTTTTTTGTTTTCTTTTTTTACCCTGGGATCTCCTGGGGTCAACGCCCCCCTCCCCCCCCACCTCACCCCTGCACTGCAAAGTAGTAATGCGGGGAATGCCTTCATGTGCGGTATGTGGCAACACAGATGGGTCTGCAGCGCCACACACAGTACATCCAGTAAGTCCAGTACTTGTCTGGACATGGCCTTTGAAAGCAGTTTACGTGCACTGAACTTCTATTGTGTTGAATTGGTTTTCAATCACCTATACTGGTTTATGTGCAATTTCTGTCACTAGCTGTGAGGACAAAATAAGTTAGTCAGGGAACAAACGTATAAGGAAACAGTACTTTATTTCATTGTCACTTCTGGGTGCTAATGATGTGATATTATAATTCAGTTTTGTAATATATATTAATTTGAATAGCTTCTTTCGTAATAAATTATATATAGCTACATACTCAAGTTGAGAATGTAAGAGTCCAAGATATGTTTTAAAGTAAGACCAAAGGAGAGGATACAGTTATGAAGTAAGCAAAGCAGAAAGGAGCAAAGTGGAAAGAGACAAGGTCCTTGAGCTAGTCTGGGGCATAAAGTATTTTGAATGTTTTCATCCATACTTCATTGTTGGAGCTCAGGACAGAGGTAATTCCAGTATAGGCTTGGGGAGTTCATTTGTAAAAACAATTCTCTAAATAATATTATTTTCTAAAAGATAGAAGATTTTATGCAATTTAAAGTGTATTATAAATAGAAAAGTTTTATATCAGTTGTAATACGCCTGAAGATAATAGAAAGCATGAATGTAGTAATAAAAACACTTAGGAGTTTGTATGAAAGGAATTAAGAAAAATATGATCTGTTATGAAAGCCTTAATACAAAGTACACATACATGTACATTACAGAGAAAACATACACAACTCCCACCTCCAGCAGCATTTTATCAGTATAAAGACTTGTGCTAGATCACCTTAGTGCAGGATCAGAGTCTAAGATTATAGTTCATGGGGGAGGGGGAACCCCAAAACCCCACCAACTCTTCAGTTTAATCAAGGTATACTTTTTTCTGTAATCTGTCGTTGGCCAAATGGGCAATCTCTACATTAAAAGAATGAATGGACAAACTTATTTGATAATAGTTCCAGAAACTACAAAATCCCATGACAGAATACTTTAACCATCCTGGACACTCCATCGCTGACCTTAGCATAGCTGTTCTTAAACAACAAAGCTCTAAAAACCTACCTGAACGCAGACTTGCAGAAGAAGAAATCATCCACAAACTGGATTGTGTTAAGCATAGTCTCAACAGAGACTATAAATTCTTGTCCTCTTACCAGGGCTAGCTGCTAACTGTGGCTGCTTACCCCTATGTCTCTCAATGTGTTAGCTGCCTTGTTTATTCTTACAGATTTATTCAACCCACTTTTTGCCTCTCAGCAGTGCTCCCTGCTCCTATCCCTTTCATCTGTATTTAAATTCTTTTCTACTAAAAGCCCTTTCTTTCTGCAAATGCAGTCATGGCATCTGATGAAGTAGGATGTCTACAAAAGCTCATGGCTCTCTGAACCAGTTAGTTTTCAAGCTGCAATTCTGCCCTTTTAATTTGTACCTTAATAAATTTTTGCAAGGGAAATAGTGTCCTCATTGTACGTAACAGACAAACTTCCAAATTTGCTGGGATATTTTATTCTGATGCTCTGGAACATATTTCACTGTATCTTTGCACTCCACTGCTGTAGAAGGGAATTTTTGCAAAAAGATGGATGACACTCATAAAGGACATTAAATGCCAGCAGACATTGCCCTTCCCTTGTTAAAATGATAATTATTACAAGCTTTTATAGAGGCACCAAGTAGTTTTCTCCTAGACTTCGTAATAATGAACAGGGTTTTTTTGGTATCCTGAAGTGCAGGGGTAGGAGCTGTGTGTTTGGTCCTGCAGACATGGAATTGATCCTGTATCTAGGTCTCCAGCAACCCAATTCTCATGCAGGGAGAAGTTTGGGAAAATAAGGTAATAAGCCAGATGAAGACCTTTGGAGCTAAGGGCTTATACCAGACAGACTCAGTGGTGGCCAGAAAAAGGGATGAATTAGACTAATATAGGAGTAGGTTACCCAGAAGTCTCAGGAGGAAGGCAGCCTGTATAGCAGGTTAAAATATATATAGTAATGATATACCAAGTTGTATAGCCTTATCAGGCCCTTTTGTTTTCAGCTTATTTGAAACTTTGGGGGCAACATTTTCAAATTTGTGGGTTGCTTAAATTGTCTTCTAACATTGAACTACCATGAATTTGTACTCAACACCTGTTAGGTATCCAAACATAATTTTAGGTGCTTAATTTGAAAACATTAAGTTAATTTATATCTGTTTGAGTTAAAATTCCTGTCATGGAGAACTATATATTTGAGCCATGCTGGCTGCCATCTTCTACATCCATGGCTAATCTTTAGAATTGTGATAGAGGAAACTGTGTCTTGCAAAATTCAGTAATAAGGGGCCAAATTCAATGAAGAGGGGCATCTGATGAAACTGTCCCAAAATACATTCAGCTGAATGATGTTGTGATTAATTAGCTGATATGAGAATATCTCTTCAAAGTAGTAAAGTAATATGTAACTGCAGCATATTATTATGACCGTGGTCTTGTCAAGACAATGAACAGTGGAATAACTTTCCTGGTGGTCACATTAGCAATACAATAGTAAGGTCTGAGTGACAGGGGAGGATTAAACCCTTCAATCCAGAATTGATTTATCTATCAGGATGCACTCAATAGTGTTATTCTAAATATTTCTTAATGGAGCATATACAATACAGAATATGAATCCCTCTTAGATCAGAGTAGTTCTTTTATAATCCAGCTGTGTTCCCATAAAACAGGAATGACAGATGAGCATTCTAGAGTGACATGCTAACTACTGATTGGGGACAAGAAAAATGATTTTTTGCAAGTTTTAAGTGAACCTTGTGAATTGCCTGTGACAATTCATCTTTAAAATAACTTAAACAGCTACATCTGATCAGAAATATTCCTGAGTGCTTTAATGTAGTTATATTTTTCCCTATTGATTGACCCTCTGAAAAATTAGGGATGCTTTAATGTTCAGTGAGTTTACTCACACCATTTCACCTTCTTGGATTGAGTTTTGAGGTTGAATGGAAAAGTGTGGATCATCCTAAGAAAAGATATTCCAAGCTAAAGTGACTTCCCTTGACATTGGGTTATGCCAGCAAAAAATTTAGCCTAGAAATGCACACTAGCAAGTATTCAGTGAAAAGATAAAAGATAAATGCCTTTTTATAAAATCTATTAGATAAGAAATTGCTGCTCCACATAGTTTTAATTTACCTAGTCACTCTGTTTACAGATACATTTGGAGCAATTATTATATACATGGCTGAGACCAATACAAGGAAACCTACAGTGCCCATCACTAGGGTATCCAAGGGCAAAATTGTATTCCCAACTGTAGACTGGAAAAGTGTGATAATCAAAGAAATATTTTTTTTTAAATCCTGCAAGTACAGTGCTTCACATCTCTGCTTCAGTGTCATCTTTGCATTAAAGGATCCCATTATTTTTTTTAATTTAAAAAAAAACAAAAACCCTCCAACTGCGAGTAGTCGGGTTGCAATTGTAGTAGTAAGGGTTAACTCTTTTAAAGAGTAATATCATCCACAGGAAGCGGTTGGTTGACCGTTAGAGGTTAGTTGTTACAATAAAGGCTTAACGAGAACACTGCCTCTCACAAATGCAGAGAAAAAGCAATATGCTGTAGTGATAGAAGCATTAACTAATCATTTTTCTGGGCAAAAGAAATGTGATTTATGAACAAGCTAGATTCAATCTCTGTAAACGGGAGCCTTCAGAATCTGTGGACAGGTTCATCACATCTTTGTATACACTGGGGCTTCATGATACAGAGTTCTCACAAAAATTACAGTTGGACCCTGATTTAGTGCTCCAGAAGGCTATCAGACAGGCTCACCAATCAGAGCTAGTTAAACAGCAACGAAGAGAAATCAGGAGCGATTCTCAGTTCTGTCAGGCATTAATTAATATGGATGCAATGAACATTGTAAAGAAACTACAACTAAATACAAATAGAATTGACAGGCACAACACATACAGGGAGTGGTCCCACCAGCATCCACAGCAGCAAACAAGTGGGAAAGGAGGCCAGTGCCACAAGTGTGGACAGACTCCAGGACATAGTCATGCTCAGTGTCCTGCCACATAAAAGATAAGTTGGCCATGTAAAAAGAAAGGTCACTATGCTTCAGTTTATCACTTCACCACCAGAGTCTGTGAAGTCACAGAACAGGATGCAGAGGATTGCACAGTACTTTTAGATGAAGTTAGAGAGTCTTCATCAGATCCAGGAGTCTGGATGACAGAAATTGAGCTCAATGGACAGACAATGCCATTTAAAATTAGATACAGGAACAGCAGTCTCAGCTATCCCCAGTTCTTACTACAGCCTACATACAGATGGGATTCTCCTTACCCCTACTAAATAGCTACAGGGACCAGGTGACACTACCCTCAAAGTACTGGGATCCTTTAATGCAAAGATGACGCTGAAGCAGAGATGTGTAGACCAGGAAGTCTGTGTGATTAGTAATCTTGCTGTGCCTTTACTTGGTTTACTGGCTATACAGGCACTGCAACTTGTCCATTGCGTAGATGAAATAGTAGACAAGAAATCCTTGGAGCAGTACTCCAAATACCCATTGTTCTTTTTCTGGTCTGGGAAAAATGTCCAGTGAATATCAGATAGGCCTGAAAGCCGATGCCATTCCATATGCATTAACTACTCCAAGACGGGTATCTTTGCCGTGAATGGACAAAGTTAAAGAAGAGTTTACATACATGGAGAAAATGGGAGTATTTACAAGGATTGAAGAATTACTCCTTGGTGTTTTGGGATGGTGGTTGGGCCAAAACCCAATGGTAAGATTAGGAGATGTGTTGACCGTACACAGCTGAACAAGTATGTGTACAGAGAAAGACACATTCTTCCTTCTGTGGAATACACCTTGGCTCAACCTGCAGGAGCCAAAATTTTCACCAAATTGGATGCTCCGGCGGGGTTCTGGCAGATTCCTCTAGCTGTTGAATCATCCAAACTAACAACCTTTATTACTCTACTTGGATGCTACCAGTTTAAACGGCTACCTTTTGGAATCTCATCAGCTCCAGAATTCTTTCAGTTTCAGATGTTAGAGATATTGAATGGCCTAATGCAATACTCAGAAAACTCCAAGAAGCTTGGAGTTACAACTAATGAAAAGTGCACCTTTGCTACTTTGCAGCTCATACTTGTGGGACATTGGATTATACCACACAGAATCCAGTAGGTCCATCAAAAGTTGCAGTCATCAGGGGGTTCCTGGAACCCAAAGATGTCCCTGAATTACACAGATTTTTAGGGCTGGCCACATACTTGGGCCCTTTTGTGAGACCTCTTAAGTGACAAGAACATATGGCTCTGGGGACCACTACAGCAGTCAGCCTTCAACAAGATCAAATCTATGCTCAGTTCCTCCCTGATACTGGCTCAATATGATTCAACATGAGAAACTTGTATTACAGCAGACACTTCATCATATGGGCCAGGAGGAGTGTTACAAGAATGTCAGGGTGCAGACTGTTGGGCCCCTATTGCTTTTGTGTCAAGAGCACGTGCTCCACCCCGGAATATATTACAAATAGAAATAATATATTACTAATTAATTACTATTAATTAATTAATTACATTAATAATAGATTTAAATATATTGCAACTAGAAAAAGAAGCACCAGCAGTTACATGGACATGTGAGTGATTCAGAACTTTCCTTGTGGGCCTGACTTCTGCTTTACAAACTGATCACAAGCCACTCGTGTCTCTGTTAGGAGACAAACCTCATGATGAACTTCCATGAAGAATCCAGAGATTATGCCTCAGAATGCTGAAATTCACCTACAATATAGTACACATCCTGAGAATAGAGTTACAGACAGCTGCTACTCTTTCTAGGGCACCATTGCAGACTCCACTGTCTCCAGAAAAACTCTGCCAGGAGCAAGATATTGCTGTTTATGTGTCACTTGGTCATAGAAGGAAATGAAATCGGTCAGGCAAGACCTACCCACAACAAACCGGTGCTGGCTGTCCCTCAGGATGTTGCCATTAGCCAGCTTGTCAGGAATGGTCTGTTTGATAATTTTTTCCAAAATCTTCCCAGGGATTGAGGTCAAGCTAATTGGCCTGTAGTTTCCTGGATCTACTTTCCTCCCTTTCTTAAATATAGGCACTACATTGGCCTTCTTCCAATCTTCAGGTACTTCACCTGAGCGCCAGGAGTTCTCAAATATCCTTGCCAGTTGCTGGGCTATGATGCCTGCCAGCTCCTTAAGTACTCTGGGGTGCAATCTGTCAGGACCAGCTGACTTGAAAGTGTCCAGCCTCTCAATTTGTTCCTTTACAAGGTCTACACTGATGCTGAGTATAAATTCACGCTCACCCTGGCCATCCCTCATCATGTTAGGCAGAGTGGTCCATTTGGGTTGATAAAAAAGCGATGCAAAATACCCATTAACCAGGTTGGCTTTTTCCTGGGTGTCGGTTGTCAGTTTTCCCATTTGGTTTCGTAGGGGTCCAATGTTGCCCTTGCTTTTTTTCCAACTCTCCACATAATCTGAAAAAAACCTTTTTATTGTCTGTTATACCTGTAGCCAGTTGGAATTCGGTTGTAGCCTTGGCTTCCCTGGTTTGCTCCCTACAGGTACAGACCAGTGCAGAATACTCCTCCTTTAGTGATTCCTGTTGTCCATCCTTTATAAGCCTCTCTCTTTAGCCATAGGAGGTCCACGAGTTCCCTGCTGATCCAAGGGGGTTGCTGTGCCCTCTTGCTACTTTTCTTCTGAGATGGGATGGACATCCCTTGTGCTTTCAGGATCACTCCCTTAAGGAGCAGCTACTCATCTTGGATTCCCCTCTCTGTCAAGTCTTGGCCCCTTAGGGCCTCGACAACACGCCTCCTGAGCTTATCAAAGTCAGCTTTCCTAAAGTTGAGGACTTCTTCATTGCTGACTGACTTACCAGCTTTGTGATGGATAGTAAAAGTGATTAGCTCATAGTTACTGTCTCCCAGCTTTCCTTTGATTCTTAGGTCACTGACTAGATCATCCCCTTTGGCCAGTATCAGGTCCAGCAGTGCTTTACCTTTTGTTGGCCCATAGACTTCTTGAATCAGGTAGAGCTTGTCCACACTCATGAGGAAGCTTTGTGACCATTCGGATTTGGCCAAGTGCTTTTCCCATGAGATGTCTGGGTAGTTGAAGTCTCCCGTGACAGCCGCGTACCAAGAGCATGCAGCCTCTGCCAGTTCCCTGGTGAATTCCTGGCCAAGCTCTTGTTCCTGATTAGGAGGTCTCTAGTCCCCTGTGCCACATTCTCCACATATTTTAACCCAGAGAGTCTCCAGTTGTCCTCCATGGGTGCCGATGTCAGCTTGCAAGCGTCAGCTTTGCATGGAAAAGCTTCAGAAGTGTTTGAAGCAAGGAGGATTTTGCCTTTGTACACTGGGCCAGCACAAAATGAAGGCTTCTCCAAGGTCCCCGTGAGGGTACTTTCCACCCAACCTGTGTGTGGGCATCACTACTTTTCAGACTGTGGAGACCTACACATGGAGAACCATACTCAGCCAAATGAAATGACTTCTCTCTCTCTGCTCATGGAGAGGCCGGACAGTCCCTTCCTGGCCAAAGATGTTCAGTTGCAAATTAACATGTAAAGTTTAAAACGGTGGCATGCTTCAGTTTGGTGCTTTAAAACTGAGTGCCAGGTTTGTGGATTGTGAAGATAAGTGGGTTTTAAAATGCACAGGTTTAATACTTAAATGTTAATAATCATGTTTTAGTTGATTAGAACATTACAAACTTACATTAATGGCTGGAAAACCCATTGTGAGTGATTACCTTTCGATTAACCTTTGTAAATTAGTGAATCGATTTGAGTTAAAATAAGGAATGCGCAAAATCTACTTATTGTATCTTGACAAATACATTTTACTTTAAATGTGTTGATTGCCTCATAATTTCTGCTCTCTGTGGTAAGTAATTTGTTTTAAAAGGTGAATAAAATGGCCCTAGTTTTTATCATTCACCTTATTTTGGAAACTGTATGTACTGAAAAGATGCAAATCAACAAAGCAGCATGAGCTGGATTCATCAAGTCATGAAATAAGCAGAAGATATACCATACCCGCCCAACAGAATTACTGTTTCCCGTAGCCATCAATCTCTACATTTATGGTTCTGTTCCAAATAAAACACATTTCCAAACTAGTTGGGTCTCTTAATGTACTGTCTTCAATTTTCTGATTTAGCGAATATTTGTCCTTTAGATGAGATGCGTACCTGTTGGGATAGATATTTAAAAAAAATGTTTGCAGCTGTTAAGCTGTATTTACTAGACATAAAGTTAAGATTGGGTCATTTCCTCTAAATGTTTGTTGTTTGCTTTCTGGTCTACAGCACAGATATAATCTAAAAGCATCCTCCCATTTGAAAGAACTCTTTTTTTTATTGCCAAACTAGTGTTTCAAGATTATTTCCAGTTGTTCTGTTTTTTGTTTTTTTACAGAGAAGAGCAAGAAGAGGCCTCACCTGTTCGAGTTGGTTTCGTTACTTATAATAAAGTCCTCCATTTCTTTAATGTAAAGAGCAACCTAGCACAGCCCCAGATGATGGTAGTATCAGATGTTGGAGAAGTCTTCGTTCCATTGTTGGATGGCTTCCTTGTCAACTTTCAGGAATCACGATCTGTCATTAGCAAGTAAGGAACACATGATGCATAGAATCATAAAATCATAGAAAATTAGGGTTAGAAGGGACCTCAGGAGATCATCTAGTCCAACTCCCTGCTCAAAGCAGGACCATTCCCAACTACATCATCCCAGCCAAAGCTTTGGCTGGGTCTTAAAAACTGTTAAGGATGGAAATCCCACAATCTCTCTGGGTAACCTAGTCCAGTGCTAACTACCCTCATAGTGAGAAAATTCTTCATCATATCTAACCTAAATTTCCCTTGCTGCAACTTGAGACCATTGTTCCTTGTTCTGTCATCTGCCACCACTGAGAACAGTCTAGCTACATCTTCTTTGGGACCCCACTTCAGGTCATTGAAGGCTGCTGTTAAATCCCCTCTGTCTTCCCTTTTCTAGACTAAATAAGCCCAGTTCCCTCAGCTTCTCCTCAGAAGTCACGTGCCCCAGCCCCCTCACCATTTTGTTGCCCTCTACTGGACTCTCTCAAATTTGTCCACATCCTTTCTGTAGGGGGGACCAAAACTGGATACAGTACTCCAGATGTGGCCTCACTGGTGCTGAATTAGAGGGGAATAATCTAATCACTTCCCTTGATCTGCTGGCAACACTCCTACCAATACAGCCCAGTATGTTGTTAGCCTTCTTGGCAACAAGGACACACTGTTGGCTCATGTTCAGCTTATTGTCTGCCATAACCTCCAGGTCCTTTTCTGCAGAGCTGCTGCCCAACCAGTCAGCCCCCAGCCTGTACTGGTGCATGGGATTGTTCCGTCCTAAGTGGAGGACTTTACACTTGTCTTTGTTGAACTTTATGAGATTCCTTTTGGCCCAATCCTCCAATTTGTCTAGGTCTCTCAGAATCCTAGCCCTACATCCCATGTATCTACTACTCCCCCAGCTTGATGTCATTTGCAAACTTGCTGAGGGTGCACTCTATCCCATCTTCCAAGTTGTTGATGAAGACATTGAAAAAAACCAGCCCCAGGACCGATCCCTGGGGCACTCCACTTGATATTGGCTGCCAACTAAACATCAAGCCATTGATTATTACCCTCTGAGCCTGATGCTTTAGCCAGTTTTTTATCCACCTTACAGTCCATTCATTCAGCCTGTACTTCCTTAGCTTGTCTGTTAGAATGTTGTGGGAGCCCATATCAAAAGCCTTGCCAAAATCAAGGTATACCCTATCCACTCGTCTCCCCACATCTGAAGAACCAGTCGTCTCATACAAGGCAATCAGGTTGGTCAGGCATGACTTGCCCTTGGTAAATCCATGCTGACTGTTCCTAATCACCTTCTTCTCCTCCAAGTGCTTAGAAATGGATTCCTTGAGGATCTGCTACCCTTCACATCCTTTGCTAGCATACTTGAATACTAATTGAATGTGAATGTTTTTCATAATGGCTTGCAGCAAATCATGATTTCTCCAACAATTGAACCAGTAATCTCGTAATTGGAGACATTGCTATCTTCAAATAAGCTCTTTTATATGAATCTTGGGAACCAGCTACCAGTTAGAAAGCTCTTTCCTAGTTTTTCAGTTCTGAGACAAAACACCAAGTGGACATTTCTTATACAATAAAGGGAAGAAGGGTGGAAATATTGTGTAGCACTTTGCACATGTAGCATCCATGCTACATGCTGAGACATGGGCTTGTAATTCAAAACCCCTCGAATACAGTTTACTCCCAAAATTTTAGACAATATGTATGTTTTAATTTCAGTGCTGTATGCTCCTTAGCATAGGTCTTTTTTAATTACTTAAATATAAAAACATGAACATTTTGAAATTTAACTCACACTGGTTTATACTGCCTAGACACAACTGCTAGCTAGCATCATTGAAATTCCTTTAAAAATTCTTTTTTTAATTTCATTTAAAGTAAATTCTTGTGTGAATAGGCGTAGTATGTTACAGATTTTTAGGATTATCAAGAGCACTCTAACTAGATGGAGCACTGATCCTTTTCCTCTTTCACAGCTTGTTGGACCAGATTCCAGAGATGTTTGCAGACACTAATGAGAGTGAGACTGTCTTTGCTCCTGTTATCCTGGCTGGCATGGAAGCACTAAAGGTTAGAATGTTCCTCTGTCTAAGAGAACAAAGTCTTTATTAGGGCAGGATTTGATAAGCTGCATAAATTGTTTTCTGAAGACTATGCCAAGTTCTCCTGCAAATTACAATGGGAAACGAGAAGAAACCGTTGATAGTTTCCAGTACTTCCATTCCATTATTCTAGCAGCACCTTTGAACTACTGTAGTCACTGATGTGCCTAACATCTGTTTTTAGATTTTGCTTACTGAAGGAAAACACAGATCTTGTTGCCTGTTCTAAGTTAATTTGGTGCTTCAGGGAAGGCAGGATCAGGATTTTTTTTCTCTGATTGTTAAGCAGCAGTGAGGTTTATTTAATTCCAATAATTTAAGTGGGGTACTCTGGGCAATCGCTGTCATCTAACCTTGGTGATTGTACTGCATGTTAGAGGCATCATTGCAGTGTCTAGTAGTCCTCTCCAAGGCTCGGCTTCTGCCTACTTTCTTTTCCATATTGAATTGTATCCCTTCTGACTTCTGTAGTTTTTCCCATTAATCAAATGTTCACAGCCTGAATACAGATGTATATTCGCTTATTAAAATGTACCCCGAGTGCATCCCCATGTGCCTGGAACATCCCTGCTGAAGTGCCCAAATTTCCATGGAACACTGCCAGTTTTAAAAAAAATGCCATCCCACTGCACTGTAACATCTACAGCAGCAGAGAGCAGCAACTGGTGGTTTAAAATACTTTGATTGCCTATGAGATTTATGTTAGTAAGATACAAAACTTCCAGCTTGATAATATGGTTGTATTAAAAATGTAGAGGATTTCCCAACTTGTTCTTTAAATAGTTGTTGTTTTGTATCATTATGTATATGTACAGAAGATGCCTGTAATGTAAATTCATTTGTCTATTCATCCTGTTATTCTGATACTGCTTAACTTTGCTTTTGCAAAAATGGAAATTGCCACAATTGTACAAATTCCTTTGACGTTACGCAAAAACAAACAACATGGCCAAGATACCAACCTGTGAAAAATAGTTGCCTAGCAGCAGCTGAGCTTCAGAAAGATTTTAAATTGGAATAGGACACATTCACATGAGAATCATTCCAGTCTAAAAAGAACAAAATAAGTAACATCCAGATGATTCTGGATGAATTTTGAATCCATATTTTTTTAAAGCTGTTTAACATACATTCAGCTTAGAACAGCTTCAACCAAAAGTGACTCTAAAGTAAAAAGTTTTTCTAATTAATTATGTAATAAGTAGGTACATGATATTAAAGATGTTCCTCTTAACATTCTGCTAAAAAATGTTAATTCTGTAAAATACACAGTAACCCAATTTGCATGCATACTCATAGGAACTGCAAATATAAATTGGGTGTACAGTTACACCAATGTGTCTTTTTAAAATGATGTTCTTTTATCTCTAAACAAACTGCAGTAATAAATGTGACAAAAGACTCCAGTTCCCAGTATCAGTAGAAGGTTGAAAAATTTAATGAATCTTGACTTACCAGTTGTGTAATTGAAATGTCTATTAAAAGTAGGGCAGTATTAGGGAAAACTTGTATTTTGTGGCATCGCTTTTGAGAACCGAGGACTTCATTTGGCAGGGTTGGAAGTTGTTGACATATACTAAAGTCTCCTGTAATTTTTTAAATTTTAAATAAAAAATGAAATCTCCAATATGGCTTTATTACTACATCCCTTGGGGGGGGAAAAATCTAATTGTGTGAAGGAGCTGTTCAGTTTAGTACTGTAGCATACCTTTGGATATCCCTCCACAGGAATGTTATTGTCTTTTGATATAGAAATATATTTTTTATATTTAAATGTTAATTTTATATATATATTATATTTACATCTAATTTGTATCTACATTACACACACACACACACACACACACACACACACACACACACACACACACACATATATTGTATGTGGGTGTATATAATGTGTGTGTGTGTGTGTGTGTGTGTGTATATATATGTGTGGGTGGGTGTATATAATGTATATACAAATTAGATATAAATACAATTTTATATAAATATAACAGTGGTTTATCTGTTTGAGTTGGATACTTTAGGTTTTTTTAAAACATAATTATATATATTCTAATTTATCTAGTCTACTCATTTAAATCTTTATTGCTTTCCTTTACGTTGATATTACATTAGTGTTTTTATTTAACTCACAAGCATAAAACATGGCATGAGTGAACTCTGGTATACATATTGTTAATTCTTCTTTTGAAACTTTAGATTCCTATGTGGAAATTGCAACACCAGGACCCAACATATCTGTGTTAGATTAAGCTATTTATGGATATTAAATTCCCAGCGACTTTCTTTTGGGGATTTCAGTGCCATGAAGAGTTCAGTCTCTAAACAGATGGAGTATTTAGCTTATGAGGATTTAGAGAAAGTTTACACTGGCATTTGAGACACTAAAATGTATGAAAATTAGGCTCCACTGTTTATATCAGCAGCAGAATAAAAGGTCATTACTGTGTCTTTGAAACAGGCCGCAGAATGTGCTGGAAAGCTGTTTATCTTCCATTCATCGTTGCCGACTGCTGAAGCACCAGGGAAACTGAAAAACAGAGATGACAAAAAACTAGTCAATACAGATAAAGAGAAGGTATTTTCTACTTAGAGTTTTTAAATTAATTGGAAAGAAAACTGCTATGATTTCTATTCTGTTGAATTTCTTCAGAATCGGTTAAATTTCACTAGTGGCTTGTTGCTTTCATAAAGTTGTTCCCTAAGTGCCTTGCATTGAGAATGAAATGGTGTCACCCTAATACTGCCCCTGTGTTCACCAGCAGATGAAACTGCCTCTGTTGACCAGCAGATGAAACCCACCCAGTTGCAAAAGCCACTCAATTAGCAAAAACTCTTGGCTACGCTGTTGGCTTGGTGCTTTTATTAAAAACTTAGAAAGGGAATCACTGTCTTTTTGTGCTGAGTCAGTAGCAGCTGGCAGTGTTTTTGATCACACGTGAGAAAGTTGTTTACCTTGGAAGCTGAACTTGGGGCTCATCTTTGCCCAGGGCATACCCCAGCACAGTCCTGTTGTGCACAGTGGATCTGAAGCATCCTAAGTCCTGGCTCGATGAAGTCAGGTAGGCTCAGACCTGCAGAGAGTTCCACTTCTCCTTGTGAGGCATATTGCCGAGCAACATACAGAGAATGCACTGAGCACTAACATAAGAAGGCCTCCATATCCTTTTTCTTACTTATGGGAGTAGAGTGCAAGAGCATCACCTCAGGCTTGCTGGGCTATGACACTGGCATCAAGAAGCAGAGCAGTGAAACTGGAGGGTCTGCAGAATACCTTGCAATACCACCTTGCCCACTTGTTGCAAGTCATGACTTCTGAAATTCCCTTCATGCTTCCATGACCAGTTTCCAGCCCTGTTTCTCCCTCCATTGCCCCAAACTTACCCATATCAGCCCGAGTGTCTCTGTCCAATTCTTATGCAGCCACATCTTCCAGCATGACCTCCTCTCTACAAGAGCCATGCAAATGGCATCTGATACAACTGGAACTATTCCCTACATTGGTTAGTGCAGGTCCTCCCTGTTTCACTCATGAGCAATGCATGTACTTAAGTTTTTTCTTCTCCTACCTCTGTAGCTGCCTTTGCCACCAGTGGAGTCCTGGATGTTAGTCTAATGGCTAGAAATGGCTAATAATAGGCATTTTTTAGGTTCATATGTGTATGTAAAGATCCAAGAGAAATTACTGTAACTTTTTAAAAATTTTCCACAGACACTTTTCCAGCCCCAGGTAAATTTTTATGAGACTCTGGCTAGAGATTGTGTAGCTAATGGCTGCTGTGTGAATCTGTTCCTGTTCCCGAACCAGTATGTGGATATAGCCTCCATGGGTCTTGTCACAATGTACACAGGAGGAACTCTGTACAAATACAACAATTTCCAGGTAAGTGCTAAGACATCCTTTGCTGCTCAGACTAGCAACCAAGAAATTACCATTTTGTTCCCATTTTAAAGATTGGTCTCCAAGCCTATTGTAAAAATAGGCTGAGGAGGATTTATCTGTGCACTGTATTGAACAGACAGAATGCACATTTGGAAGTCTAGCTCAAGTCAAACGCATCTTCTTCCTCTGAAACAAGCTGGTGGCTATCTTCAACTGAATTCTCTCTATTTAAGTCCATTGACCGATTACTTCGTCATCCTCTGATGAACATCAGAGATAGAAATGCTTGTAGCCAAAAGGAGAAAAAGAGAATCTAAGCAGTTATTCAAAAAGATTTGTGTAATATCTAATTATAACAAGACCAAAAATATTCAGGGCCTAAGTGTGGTGCCATATAGAGGGAATGCGGAGAGGACCCCTATACAATCCTTAATGACCTTTATTTCCCTACATTGCAGTGAAATTGGCAAGTTTGTGGGTGGAGTTTAGTATTGAATGCAAGATTTTTCTTCTAGTAGACTGCAAGTGGTACATCAAGGCTTTTTGCAAAAATATTGAGGTGTCTAGTAATGGACATTGGTGCAGTACCTGTTTAGACATCCTTCTCAATCATACTGGGCATATAGCATTCATTATAAGACCTTGTGTAAATCCCACTGAATGCCTGTCTGAATCTTAAAGTGCCTAAATATCTTCATAAATCTGGTCCCTTTCGAAACTTGTAAGGAGGGCTGAAATAAGAAAGGCAGGCTGGTATCACAGCGCTGAAGTTCACTGTCTGTGGCTTTGTAATATTTATAAAATGTGGAATTAGTGAATTACAGAAAAAGATCATTTTCATTGTAACTCTAAGTTTTCTATTGGGTCACTTGGGCATTAGCTGTGCCTCTTCTTCACTCCCTTACTCTAGTGTGCAAATATCACATGTCCTTTCAAAAGGAAGCCATACAGTTGCATACAAAGAAGAGGAAGCTTCCTTTTGACTCTGATTTATCTACATATGCATTTTCTGACCAATCAATCAAGATATTGGGAAAAAAACAATCCTAGCTGCAACCTTAAAATCCTACACAGCCTACAGCAACTCAGTGGGTGCATCTACATGTGCAATTAATGCAACGGAATAAACTGGTACAAATCGAGGCAGAGTAAACAAATTCCAATGTCACCTACATGTGTTTTAAGTGCAGTAAATTACTGCTGCATAGGATAGGACCTGTGTGTGACAGGACTATTCCACACTGGAGTAAATTTAATCTGTTGCACCCAAATTGCAGTACATGTGTAAATGGTGACACTACTGTGCAGTAACAAATTAGTCTTTTGTGTAGTAAAGCACACAGGTAGACATGCTTAGTGTTATTCAGTGGAATACCCTACAGGCACTGTTTCAGAGAAGAGGAGTCCTAAAAATCCAAGACTGTAGGAGTGATTGCTGCTGACTGCTGTTTAAATGAGACATGTCAAACATTGTTGTAGGCTCATTTAAGAAAAAGCAATAGACAACATGTAAAAAGGCAAATGTTTCGTATTTAAATATCCATAAACAGGCATGAAAGATCTTGGGCCTTTATTTATTTATTTATTTATTTTGTACTGTCTTGCTGCCATCCAGTGGTGGACTTTAGCTTTCTTTGTTCTGTGCTTGTATATTTTAGGTACATTCTGACAGTCCCCAATTCCTTAGCGACCTTAGGAAGGACGTAGAAAAAAGAACAGGATTTGATGCTATCATGCGGGTTCGCACAAGTACAGGTAATAATACTCTTTTGGAATGAAAATGAATGAATGCATATCTCCAGTTTTGTATCACAACAATCCTAGCACTTGGATTTTAAATAACAAAAAGTCAGAAGTTTTGTCCATAATATTTTTCTTATGTTTCATGTTTAGAGATAACTGTAGGCATGCTTCTACAGAAAGTAGAAGGAAATACAGATATGTAGGAATCTGATGTGCAGTTTATTTTGCCTACACAAATATAGATTCTGCTCATTTAGAGAGGTACCTTGGTTTTTATGTAAAGCATGTGTGCCAGCTGTAGTACACACCGTTTTGACCATAGTTTGTAAAATCCTTTGCTTAATGAAAACTTGTAGCTTCTGAAAACCTTATTTTTTCAAATTCAAGTATTGCAGGAGCAGCATTAGAAGCAAATACAGATATTCAGATAGGTTCAAACACCTTCATGGCCTTGTAGTTTGGCACCAACTTTGCCTCTTATAGACAACCTTTCTGTTCTTCTAGCTCTACTTCCTGAAGGGAAAAGGTTCTTCTGTTGCCACCCCTCCTTTTGGCAGGGAAACCAGAAATGGCATCTGCCATGACTTCTGGGGTCCCCAGAGGTTAAGGCCAGAAGTCCTGAGAATGGTGAAACAATTATTTCTTCTCAAACCCAGTGAAGCATATTGACCATCAGCAAACAAGCAGTCGCAAAGCCAGGCCACTGTATTAAACCTTTGCAAATACTAATGTCATTTTTTTCACTGTCTGTAGGTTTCAGAGCCACAGACTTTTTTGGTGGCATTTACATGAATAACACAACAGATGTAGAAATGGCAGCAATAGACTGTAACAAAGCAGTAACTGTGGAATTCAAGCATGATGACAAACTGAATGAAGACACTGGCGCTTTAATTCAGGTGACACCTTTAAATCCATAATGTTTCATTAAACAATGAACTGTTATGAAGTAATAATAAAATAATTTTTGCCCCTGGGATGGGAGTCCCTTGATCCATAGCCGCATAGCTTACATAGGCTTTATGCTACTTTATTAACGCCAAAGCAGGGGCGGGCAAAATATGGCCCGTGGGCCAGATCCGGCCTGTGAGGCCACGGGACCCCTAAAAGATTTAGAAAATTTATATTTATCTGTCCTTGGTTCCTGTCAAAAATGACAGGAGCCAGGGGCAGTAGGACCCAGGGGAAGCCCCAGCAGGCTCCTGCAACAGCAGGGCCTGCCCAGCCCCGCTGGAAGCCCCAGCAGGGGCTTCTGGCCTGGGACCATGTGGCTCCTTGTGGCTGCACCAGTGCGGGAAACTCGGGGGGAAGGGCAGAGCTCGTGGGCTGGGCAGCACAGAGGTGGCGGTGGCAAACACTGCCTGGTGCGGCAACTGGAGGGCCGCTTTCCTCCGTACCGAGCAGCTGCTCCCACTGTGGCGCAGCCCCAATGGGCAAGCCCAGAGCTGGAGCGGGGCCACTAGCAGCAGGGGTGGGTTACAAGCTGGTGCTGAGCGTGGGAAAAGCAGACCGTTGCCCACCCTGTGGCCAGTACCCTGCACTGCAGCCACATGCAGCCCACGTGGGGCTGCCTGTGCCTGCTCAGAACAGCCTCGGGCGGGCTGGGAACAGCTGCAGCAGGAAGCACCGTCCATGGGGCGTGGGACGAGCCGCTTTTCCCTGTGCTCCATACCAGCTCCTTCCCTGCTGGTGAGCATAGGGTCAGGGCTGCACACTGCCCTCTGCCTGTACCACAGGGCTAGGGTGGCACTGGGAGTGAGTGGGTGCAGGAGTCAGGTGGGAGCATGGGGCCTGCACTGGTGTGCTGGGGCCAGCACCGACAGGGCCCAGAGCAGGGTAGCAGGAGTACAGGGTCCTGGCCAGCAGGGGGTGCTCTGTGGAGCTAGGCCAGCTCCTCCCTCTCCCTGCTCGTGCAGCTCAGCCTGGTTCCACAGACCCCTGCCAGCCTGCACCCTGCTCTGGGCCCCACCGGTGCTGGCCCTGAGACATGGGTCCCAAGATGGTGACCGGGGTAAAGGGCACCTGTCAAAGGGTGGAGCTAGCCATGCGGCCCTCGACAGCTTGCCAAAACTGGGTAAGCGGCCCTCCACCCAAAATAATTGCCTGCCCCTGCACTGAAGGATAGGGGCAGGTTTTAATGAATAATAAACAACTACATGTGTATTACTCTTCAGGCACATAACCCTGTGCAGGCAATCTTTGCTTAGCTAACTCGTGCTGGTATCCTATAAAGGCCATTGTGTTCATATTGAGCCAAAATAAAGGGAAGATAAATATAAAAACAATTCAATGAACCAGGTTATTAGTGACCCTGGCCAGTATGACTTTGAAACCCCCACACAGTGTGGTTCTGAGGATATAGGTAGTAGTACGAGTAGCTTTTGCATCTGCAAGTTGAGGGTTGTTGCATGGAGAGAGGAGCTCCTAGTTGAGACCATGTATTCTTTCCACTCAACCCTATCCCCTCGCATCTGAGTTAGCCTCAGAAGTAGTAGCAACCTGGTGAGCCCCTATGGGAGGAGTTCTGTGAAGCTAGAGGAAAGTCCATTCTCTGGAATCACAGGGTTCCCTCCCTGTCTGGATCTGTGGATAACTCTGTCCCCAGGAAGGAACAAATAGTTAAACATCTAATGGTAGTGACCTTGCTGTCCGAGGCTGAGGCAAGCTCTGCTTACACTTTCACTTCAAAATATATATTCCCAGAAACCTATCAATGAATGTTCTGGGAAATTTAGATTTAGATTTTGCTGCCTTACACTTATTAGAGATGTTTGTGAATATCTGTTCCTTACGAAAGATGTATCCCAAACAATATCAGATGGTGGGAAATTACCCTTTACTCATTACTTCCTTTAATCACCAAAAGCGTAATAGCTTTTAAGCTTTTAAAGCTAAGCCAGAAAATTACCTAAACTGTTACTCTTGTTCTGCTTTAGTGGTGTCAAGCTCCTAGAAATATTATTCATGACTTAATAGTTAATCCTTGGGTGAACACAGCCCCATAAAACACAGTTAGCTTTGGTATATGTGAAGTCATTTCCTAGAGAGATATGGTATAACATTGACACTGGATATATATATGCTCCTTGTACATTTACTTCTCCATTTCAAATGGGTTAAAATGGGAAATGTTCATAAAATGGCTGATCCACACCCAGAAATCTCAGTGGGAGTCTCTCAGTTTGTTTCAGTGAGCTTTGGATCAGGCACATAACTATCCAGGCAATGATATAAATAAAATACTATGTGTGAAACTAATATAGTGCAAATAACATACTGGTGGATAGGAACCGAGAACAGGATTTCCTCTCTTTTTTGCCATACCAGTTTCCCCAAATATTAGCACTGAATTTAAACAAAATACAGTCCCATTACAATGCTGTAAATCAAAATAGTTAAAGTTATATAATGCTTAAAAAGAACAATTTAACTCTTCAAGATAATTTTCTGCCTGCTGCTTTTTTTCCTTTGATTCTTTTTCTGCCTTTTCCTTGTTTTTGCCATGTGATGACAGAATCAGGGGAGTATGTTGAGTATTTGTCAGAAAGCTTTCTGCCTATTGCATGAAGTACTTTTATTTATATTCACTCATTGAAATATTTTTAACAAACTTTTTTCAGAAATTAAACAATTAGAGACCTTATGACTTTAAAAAAGTAACTGCTAGTTTTCACCATTTTTTCAAATTCTCATCTGTCTGTGCAGTCATGAAAGTAGGGGACTCTTTAATACTCCAGTTCTAATGGCTTAATTTTACCTTATGTGATGGGTTCATATATACTTGCATAAGAAAATGTGGAAATTATTTGTAGAGCTCACTAGTATCTGGTGAATGCTGCTTGCCTGGCTTCACAGTCCAAATGTATTTTCCATACAAATTAAATGTCTGTTGCATGTTGAAAGTCATCTCTTTATTTTAAACTGTAGTTATGTTAACTCTTGTGCAAACTGGGATATTTTTTATCATTACAGTGTGCTGTGCTTTACACAACCATAAGTGGACAAAGACGACTCCGTATACATAATATTGGCTTAAACTGTAGTTCCCAGTTAGCTGATGTCTACAAGAGCTGTGAGACAGATGCTCTTATAAACTTCTTTGCTAAATCAGGTAAAATCAGGAACTACAGTTGTCTTTGTTTTAGAAAGACATCTTTTCATAGAAGAGAATCGCACTTTACAACTTACTGGTATTACTCTGGTGTGTAATGCACAATATTGGTAACTTCAGTATGGTATATCTGAGATCTCCCAGATTAGAGACTTCTAATCATGTTGGAAATAGAAGATGGTGTGCTGGTTTTCTGAATGAAATGAATATCTATTAAGATCTAGATTCCCATCAACAAGCTTAGTTCTTTGGAGGCAGCTGTGATTCAAATTCACAATGACAATTGCATGTATATACATTATGGCCCTGTACAAACAAAAGGTTTTTGTCTAATCAGTCTGGAGTTGACCTGTTGTTCTTTTTTAATTGTAGCTTTCAAAGCCATTCTTACCCAGCCATTGAAGACTGTCAGAGAGATTCTGATGAATCAGACTGCTCACATGCTGGCGTGTTACAGAAAGAACTGTGCCAGCCCATCTGCAGTAAGCCAGGTGAGATAAGAGTCCAAGGAAAGTCTTCCCTGTCTGCGTTTGCACAGGAGATGCCTAATCATCAGTATTGCAACCTCAGCAGTGCCCCAAATGAAAATTCCCGGGCATCGTTTAATTTCCTTTCAGTACTCTGTAAATATGTTTTTTCTTCTTTACTCTTTCATTTTTAAGAACATTGTAAACATGTCTTTAAACGAGAAAAAGCTGGAAGTGGTTATACATTACAACTTTATTTTAGCAGACCCTCTTTATAAGAAACTCATGTTTTTAACAAGCCCAACAGCAGGAACCAATTTTTCTCATTATGATGATGCAGCATATTGACTCATTTTCTTATAGTGAACCCTTTTCAATGAACTTATCTCCCTGTCCCACGAGGCTTGTTTATAATAAGACTGCACTGTAGTTCAATATTGTAGGAATCAGTTGCATTTAAAGGTGGTAAGAATTGAGAGGACTGAAAACCCAATACATTTTTCTTTTTGCTACCTCTGTTGTTAAAACCATGGCAATTATTTTGCCAGTGAAGAAACTGATATATTCAGTGCCTCTGATTCAGAGAAGAATCCTTTTTTTGGCCATACTTGAATTTAAAACAAAGCTAATCATACCCACATGTCACTTTACATAAGCTTGCTTCTTTCAGTTACATTTTGAAAGTTGTTAACTATATTTTAAATAGAAGCACAGTCTTATTTTATTTCATTAGCATATTCATCAAATAACCTCAATTTGCTTCTAAATGTACATTTTTCACAGGTGTTCTTTTTGGAGAGGGGGCAGTTTGTCAACAAAGGACCAAAATTAAGAAAAATCCTAATCAATTTTCAAGTTAGAGATAGCTGTACATGTTTACTCACTCTTAGCACTTTAAAATCTTTCCTGGTTCAGAGACTTATTCCTCCTTTCATATTCTCTCGTATTCAAAAATGTTATACTCCCACCCTTACATCTTCAGAATATCTTTAACATATGTCTGGGTCAGTCAGTCAGGGTAGTTCACCACAGATAGGCTTTAAGTCTCTTTTTGCTGAGTAATAGTTTGATATTTGACAAAACTCATTCTTGGATACAGAGTTAAATTCTGTAATCTGGTTGGATCTGAGTTCTGGAAACATTAAAATGTAGGTTTTCTGCTTTTTCTCTTTCTTGAAACACAAATTGTTTCCAGGCCTCTCTTTCACTGTTAACTAGGTACTTAAGACAGCAGGTATAGCTGATTTCTCTTCAGCATCTTTTTGGCTTAATATTAAAGAGATTTTTGTACATGACACTGAACTTATTAGCAAGTTTGAATATTTCCAGAATGCTACTCCCAGGCTTTTCTCTAGCTTGGTACAGAGGGCTTTTACTGTGTGATGAATATTGTGTGTTTTCCTTTAGCTGAGGAGAGCATAGTATCCAGGTCCCCCACTTCCTGAGTAGGTCCCTTAACCAGTAGGCTGTTACTTAAATGATGGGTGCCACTACCTATGCTTTGAACAAGAGATTTGGAGTCAGCCATCCATTTTGTAAAAAAAACAATGTAGGTGCCTGAGCTCAGGGAGGGACTTTCACCCCATGAATACCAATTGACTAGAGGATTTCAGACATGTCTTTCTTCAGGGCTGCTCATTTTCTGTCTCACTGTACTGGCTGTTGTGAATCCCATTGAGGCACCTTACCTTCCCCATTCACTGTATGGGGAACTTAGACACCTAACTTGTAAATTCCACTTCCTGAGTTGGGTACCTAAATCTTATGCTGAGTGTAGGTCCTTACGTTCATTTATAGATCTGGGCCCAAGTGATTTGCCCAAGCTCGCGCAGGAAGTCTGTGGTGGAGGAGAGAATCCCAGGCAGTGCCCTAACTTTTGGATCATCCTTCCTTCCTCCTTCAGGATAGTAACTGTTAACTCAGTTCCAATGGCAGGAGTACAGCACAGTGTATGCAGGAAGGAAGCACAGTGGCAACAGAAATATCACTGTGCAAAAACCTAATTAATCTTTTAGGATGTTATTGCGTGTTCCTTCTTCATTAGATCATCTTTTTTTTTAATGCCTGTAATTAAAGCCGTGGTATAAGATAAATACTGAGCCCTGAGAAAATCAGCTCTTTGTACTTCCATGTCGATTTCCCTTTGTACTGAGCCCTGAGAAAATCAGCTCTTTGTACTTCCATGGCGGTTTCCCCCTCAGAATTCACCAGCCAAAGAAATCATCAATTGCGGGGTGTGGTACAAAGTCCTCATCTAAATTGTATTAATATTCCATGCACACACACAGCTCTTTTGCACACTTTATTTAGCTCTTAAAGTCAGAAGATTGCTAAAAATTGGCACATTTAAGACATCTATTTCTTTGCATCAGAGCAGTTGTCTGATTGATCATCACTCAAGAAATAATCCAGGAATAAAACAGTGATTTTGCAAGACATACTTGAGTTTGTGTTTGCATTTCTCTTTCTTTTTTAATGGTTTTGCCCTGTAGTGGTAGCTTCAAGATAGCTGTATCACCAGTGCAGTTCAGTGGGGAAGGCACCGACATGGCAACTCACGGGGAACATAGGCTCTGTGGCTTGCTAGGTGACTTCAAACAAGTCCCTACTTGTGCACCTCAGTTTCCCCATCTGAAAAAGAGGGGATTTTCTCATATCATCTCAGAATTAAATAACTTTTAAGTTTATATTTCCTTCCTTGAAATAGCATTTAGTTAAAATGCTGGTGTACAACTTACAGTAGTTGTAATTGTTTAAAGCACTTGTTGAGCTTCAGCAGTTCACTGCCCGTTAATGCATGAAGAAAATGTTATTGTCAGACATGTTTAGCATTAACTGTCTTGAATATAATTTACAACAGACTTTTATTCTGAGCACTTACTTTGTTTCATATAGCGAGCATGTCAAAAGTCGCATGATGTGGCTAATTGTATCTGAGACTGAGGTAATACATGTTCCCCCTTTACCTGCTGGGCTGTTTCTTGTTCATCTCATTTTTTTTCTACAAGTTTCCTTGCAAAACTGGACACAAAAAATGAAGTAACTTCTGTTTGAGCTTTTCAGGGTTGAATTACTCATTCCAAGTGTTTATTTGCTCTTCGAGGCTTCTTGCAAACAGCTGTTACTAATAGTCCTGAGTTGCCTATTTGTGACCAGCTGGGGGGTTTGGTGACATAGCAAAGAACTTGGTTTGTTCAGAAGCCGAACATCCAGGTTTCTTGCTAACAGTTGGGATTTAAGAAATAACAACATTTCCTTCTGTGTTTCAGCTCATCCTTCCTGATGCAATGAAGGTGCTGCCAGTATATATGAATTGTTTGTTAAAAAGTTGTGTCCTAGTTGGCAGACCAGAAATTCCAACAGATGAAAGAGCTTACCATAGGCAACTAATCATGTCTATGGATGTAGCCAACACACAGCTGTTTTTCTATCCACAGCTTTTGCCAATTGTAAGTATACACCAGCAGCTCATCTTTGCTGGTATGGAAATGTTAGTTTTAGAGCTTTTCAGTCAAACAGAGGCATGTGTTGAATATGCAGTATTTATTTTAAAAATTGATGTAAATGCATACGTGCACAGGGTTCCTTGAACTGTAAGTGGCTTTTATATTGGTAAGCTAGGTGTTTCTTATCATTGCTGGATAGTCTCCAGTGGATCTACTGATTTTTAACTTTTTGAATCTACTGAAAACAACTTGAAAGTTAGAATGGCTGAAAGAAAAACCTACACAAGAACAGTGAAATGGCAATTTATACCCGTCCGTATATACTAGATACACTCACTCACTTTGCCTCAAATGTTTAGTTTGCTGAAAATGAGTTGCAGTTACTGTGTGCAGTATCATATTGATAATGGTACTACCTTGTTTGCCAAATGTTACTTCCTTGATTCTTATCCACATGGAAGGATGTTAACTTTAACTTTACTGATTAACTGTTTAATTTGAATTCTAAAAAGTTGCTTAATTAGGGGTAGTGAGAAGTACTGGGTTGACTTTCTGAGAGACTTCAGTTCCACTTACATAATGAACAGTCAATGTTTGGTAGTTCTGTGCTTCAGAAAGAGAATTAGATAATTAACTTCATGTTTTGATGAAAACTAGAAAATTGATTATAGATTAGCTCTTAGTTATTCCAAGCCAACAGCAGTGCACATACATAAAAAATAATGTTTTGAAGCCTGTGGTGTAGTAGAGATATAAATAACAGCATACCACTGGACTAGAGAATCCTACTCAATGTAAGACAAGCTAGAAAGAATGCAGGTTGATTATCCTAGACTGTAAATTGTGCTCATTGGGAAGGAATTGTTGACATTGAATAATGTAATCTTAAAATTATTTTTTTTCTTGAGGAGTTACTTTCAACACCTGGCTGCATATTAACAAGATAACTTGAAACTTTTTATATGGCACTTACTAAATATAACTGCACTAAACAGACCTAAACTTCCATGTTATTTGTATCTCTCTACAGCACAACATGGAGGTAAAAAGTGATGCTTTCCCCACCTCAGTCCGTTGCTCAGAGGAGCGTCTGTCTGAAGGAGGAGTGTTCTTCCTGGCAAATGGCTTAAATATGTTCTTGTGGCTTGGAGTCAGCGCCCCACCTGAGGTTATTCAAGGCATCTTTAATGTACCGTCCTTTGCACATATCAGCACCGAAGCTGTGAGTACATTTGGGGTGAAACTAGAGATACAATGTACTTGAATCCTAAATAAATAGTCATCCTTAATTTTGGAAGTGAGTTTCCAGACTAACGCGAGTGGAGCGGAAGCATCACCACTTCAATCCTGACTTGAACTAAAAGGAGGGATGCATATGGTTTGTTTAGATTCCATCTTGTTTCCCTGACCTGGTTACACAGCCTGGGAGCAGAAACAATTGTGGGTGACTCAGGTGACCAATCATAAAGCAGAAATAAAAAACAAGGGAAGTATGAATTGTTCAGAGCCAACAGACTGAATTTTTCACAGCACGTACTTGTGACTGCATTTGAGAAATGTTCCTGAAATTTGCTAATCAAATCCATTCCAGTGGATGATAGAATCTCCCTGCATTTAGATGTGATAACTTATGAAACAGTCTGTCTGGACACACACTGAAAGCCCACATATCATAGTTTAGCATGACAGAACTAACACAGTCTTCAGCTTCTCTTTTAGTGAATGTGATGATTTTGCATACAGTTTCCATGCAATATTCCCCCATGGTGAGTTTCCCATAAAATATATTTCCAGACAGATGCACATGAAAATGAGAGTACCTGTGGCCATTTCTTTTGTGAAGGACATTAGTACACTTTCGGTTTTGGAATGAGACCTGTAGAAGCTGGCTTACATCCTTCACAACCTGCCAAAATGATTCTGTAAAGCTTTGGAAAATTAATATTTAAAAAAAAAATACATGACTCATACTCTTAATCCCTAATATTTACATCAACTCTGCTACTGGTAGAAGTGTTTTCTCATACCTTTCATTCTAACAGACACAGCTGCCTGAATTGGACAATCCATATTCTAAGAAGCTCAGATCAATAATGAAGTATATCCAGAGCCAAAAGCCTTACTCCATGAAGGTAGGAGATTTAAATTTAAAATGGATTTAAGATAGACACTAAGTAACTCAGCAAGTCCACGTGGATTCCTCATGCATAAATGCTATTTGTGCATTATTGGATTTGATGGGATATTTTAAGTTGTTTTAATAATCCCACTGTTTCAAAAAGAGCCCTCTGCAAAGGCCCTTGTATCTGCAAGATGCCCCCTTTAGCTTCAGTGGGCTCTGGAGATGGCAGGTGGATAGATACCTTTTTGAATCAGTGTGAGCATCTTCACTTGATTACTTGAAATTAATGTTCTTTGAGCAAGGAATTCCAGATCTCCTGCTGTAGGTAAAATTTTCAAAAGCATTCAGCATTTGTTTGTGGCCATTTTGCTATTGATTTAAAGGGAGCAGAATTAGGCAAATGCTGAGCTCTTGTAAAAATCTTCCCTCTACTGATAATGATAGTAAATCTTGCATAATTTATGTCAAGTAATTAAAAATCACTGGTATTTTATTATGCTCTGGCTTTTAAATTGAACACTTAAGCAAGATAATTTAGGGCCAGATTTTTCAGATGGATGCTAATGCTGCATCTGTCTTTGCTTCTGCATCCATCGATTTGACACTGCTCATACCAAAACAACTAGCCATGAGCATAACAAAAATAATCGTGATGGTGAAGGGTCTGCTGTACTACAGCTAGCGGTGAACATGGCACATCATTTGAATGTGTAACAGCCACAAGGCAAACAATGCCCTCAGAATATCTTGAATAATTGCTCTCTCTCTCCTTCTAGCTAATAATAGTGAAGCAACGAGAACAGCCAGAGATGCTTTTCCGACAATTCCTGGTGGAAGACAAAAGTATTTATGGAGGAGCTTCTTATGTGGACTTCCTGTGTTGTGTCCATAAAGAGATCTGTCAGCTGCTCAACTGAAGGAATTGAATATATTCTGATAAATATCCTTTTTATTAGTAAGAGAGACCTTCTGCTTGGTGACTAAAGTCCAGATCCTTAAAGGTATGCAAGTACATAATTTCCCATCAATTTCAGATACCTTTGAGGATCTGGGCCTAACTCCAAATAGTGTTTTACCAAGCTTTTCCTATGCTACTTTGTACAGTTTCTGATTTCAGACACTAATGCTCACTCTTGGAGTATCAAGTTTACCTATTAATATGTAGACTAGGACATTTTCGCTCAGGTATAAAATCTTTGGGAGGGGCTTTACTGTTCTTTTCAGAAGGGTCTGTTTGTAATTGTGAACTTTCAAACTACCAAGCTTAAAGCTTATGGTTTGCATTTCCTAAATATCAAGATAAATAGATAGTTTAACAGAACATTAGTGTTCATTATTTGTTATTCATATAAATTGTATGATAGCCAAGAAAATACCAGGCAAAAGTCTCCACCATAAAAAAGGTTATTAACCAAACTCCACCAAACACGCCGAGTTTTTCTAATAAAACCAAAACATTTAAATATCAAATTTGCAATAATATTTAAAGTGTTTTTATAGTAGCCTGCTCCTTTCATACTTGTCAGTATATAACAGTGTTAATCATTTGGGACCATTTTCAACACTTGCGTACTAGTAAGTTATAAAATACACATGAAATGCTTCATGGTTTCTCTTCTTGACAGGTATGGGGTTATAACTAAACTACTTCTACAAAAGAAAATGAAAACTAATGTCTGTCTCACCTTTCATGTACAAAACAGAGCAAACTGTTCAGGCATGTGACCCTGCTATGGAAAAGCCCTCAAATCCCACTCTGGTCTGCTGATAAATAGCATGGATTTCTCTTCCCTGCAAATTTACAGTGCTATCAAAAACAAAGGGTGCTGCACAGAACTACCTCCATTTTAACCAGGTGCAGATCAGTAGTAGGCATGTCTTGTTTTATATAGACTAGCTTTATTCCAGCCCTGATCTGAAAACAACCCACACAAGACTTTGAACTACTTTACTAGAAGGGTTCACTGTGGGACTATACTAATTAAAGTACATCTTGACTTTGCAGAGAATTGATGGGGGATTGACCAGAGCATCCTTTGTGTCAGTGCAGGTCTTGCTATCTTGTGGGGATGGCTGGGCTCAGATTAACATTTTCCTTTTTTTTTTTTAGCTGCCACAGATACCAGTATGTGGCTGGTTCAGGGCATAGAAAAAAGTTTCTGTCTACAGTTGGGCCTGTCTGTTTGGCTGTGCATCATCCTTTGGGGGTATACATAACCAAGCTTGTATCATAGAATGTACAAGAGAAGGGAAAGGACTGTAGTAAACAGTAATGAGTTATCTTGCTTTTGCTGTATATCTACACTAGTTACCCTAGGCTAGTCTCTTAGGGCATATCTACATGTGACCATACAGCGACTTAGTGATGTGCTACATCGCCGTACAGCACGCTATGGCGACATAGTGATCACCTTCCAAAAGGAGATACTAAAGCACAGCACAATAGCAACATCACCATACAGCAACGTGTAGACACACTCTTACAGAGCTAAATCATTGCTAGCAGAAGTGGGTACAACTCTCTTGTCTTTGGCACAATAATTAATTTGGCCTAATAAAAACAGGTTTCTAATTACAATGAAAATGTAACTCTGCTAATCAAAAATGGCAGTCAATTTATTATTACAGTTATTACAACTGGAATATTCACAACTTGATTTAAGAGGAATTTACAATACAAGTTTGAGCTAAATATTTGTCCTATTGCAGTTTCAAGGACTGTAAGTGTTTAGACAGTTGACACTTTAACCAAAGGTTATATATGCTGCTAAAAGACACATTCATCACTTTTGTATTTACAATCATCTCTTGAATACATTGTTTTTTTTAAAGTAAAAAAGTGTTTAATTCCTGGTTTTTAATATTGATAAAAGGCAGAATTTAAAAAGCTAGAATCTTTGGAAGGCCTCTTTGCCTCAGATGATGTATTGATTATTTTCCTCATTAAACTGTTAATGCCTTTACAAATTATTAATGTCACGATAAATCTCAACTGCAATACTTGTCTTAAAACAAGAGGTAAATTATTTTTCTTCGCAACTGTTGGAGGAAAGGACACAAGCTTCAAGTTGTAGAGACATTTCAGATCCCTGCAAAAAATAATGTGCCTTTTAAAAAACGTTAAATTATCATGGAATTTAGGAACAGTGTTGTCATCAGATACATGGACAATGATCTGAAGTGTGTTTCTGCTTCCAGTCTTTAACACGTAAGGTATTTTTGTTAGTGTGATTACATCATTGTGCATTTTGAGTTCAACCATCTCTTGACCAAGAAGGAGTATTAAAAAAATGTACAAAGAATGAAGTCGAAGCATGAAGTAGAGATGATTTTTCTATTTCTTCATCCAATACTAACAGGTGGGAATTTGTAAAGAGAAATATTTGTTGCTATTTCATGTCTGTGTACATTATGAATTACACCAGCAACTTTTTTTTTAAAATGTAAACATGAGTGACTATTAAATCTCCTCCTCCTCATTCTCACTGTGTTCAATGTTTATTCTTAATGTGTGAAATTCTCATTTTAGCATGTAACTACATAATGTGTCAACACAGGGACGAAAAAATGCCTTTATTTCATTAGTAAGTAATGCAGTTAATCCAACCACAACAACAGCTTCAATATAATGGGAAAGCTTAGTTTCTTTTGGGTTAACTGGTGTAAAGTGGTGGTCCAACATGGGAACATGGCCCCCCAAAAGATCAGGTTTAAAATCTGGCAAAGAGTTTTATGTCATTGCCTTCAGGTATCTGATGAGTCTTTCATTGTATTGTATGGTATTGTACCTGTCTCAGTACACTTCTAAGGAAGTAGCATGAACTGGGGTGGGCTAGGATTCATGTAAGCTGGATAGTTTCTGTGTGAGTTTGAGCCGAATTATATAAGGACTGAATTAAGCACAGGCTCAGACCTGGATGTTCAATTTAAAACTTTTATTGTTTCACAAAGTCATAAACTAAGGAGGTCTGTTGGTTCACGAGGTTCCCAAATCAAGCCCTTGCTTTCTAACCCAAAGGCTAGGTGCGGCTGCCTGATTCAGTAGTCTCAGAACTGGTCAACAGCTCATTTAAAAGGAGTCCCTTATCTTTTCTTAGACAAAAGATACAAAACTGTCCCCACTCTGTCTGAGTGAGGCATCTAACATAACTTTTCTATTACTTATATATGATAACACGTATACATATGCATTTCTAATTCTTACTTCTATTGGTTACTAGTTAACTCATCTATATTCTACACGCTCTTTATTATAATTGGTTACGCTTCTTATGTTAATTTCTAATAGTTTACTTATAATACTCCCCAGACTTTATCAGCGTGATATATGGTTGTTTTTGTTCTTGCGGTTCAGCCTTGCATTTCCGTATTTTCGAAAAAAAACACTGCTTTGCTTGCAATTTTTATCATACTGTCAGCATTCTTATTCAAGGGTCAGATAGTGAAAACCAGAATGTCAATCGCTGACTTCTCAACCTCCTTGAAGCATTCTGGGAGTTTTAGTGCATTGTTAATTATGCTAGGCCTTGCTTAGCATGAGCACTCTCTCACAGTTTCTCTGTTGCTTTATTGTATATCTCAATGTTCTGGGTGTGCTTTTTCTCTTTCCCTGGAAACTCAAAAGTGATGGACCTGGAAGCAGTTTCTTGACTTTATTAAGTAATTTTGCCTAATATTTAAACATTTTCAGAGGCAGAACATTACCTGTATGGTACCACATTTGCTCAAATCTAAAATGACCCTGAATTTAAGAAGACCCCTTCCCATGAGATGTTATACATGGAAAATTTCATAGATTTCATAGACATTAGGGCTGGCAGGGACCTTGGAAGGTCAAGTCCAGCCTCCCGCCCGAAGGGCAGGAAGTCAGCTGGGG